CGTCTTATAGCACCAACAAAATGAAGACATTTATGGCAGTTATAAAATATATCATCAATGAGTTGTGTGCGTCTTATGGCCGGTTTATGCTTCGGTCTTAATCTTAATCTTAAGAGTTGATAACGTAGAATGCCATAAGGGCGTTTACACTTCCCTAGTCTTAATCTTAGTCTTAATCTTAATCTTGGAAAGATCCCATCTTTTAACTTTAGTCCCTAATGTCCTAAGGCCGGGCCAATGAGGCCCTTGAAGGGCCCTTGAAGGAATGAGTAAGTCTGACGTCCGACCAGCACGAAACCGCGCGAAATAATGGTTTTCGATTCTTGTAAAATACAAAAATGAGTGATGCTGATTTAATTGAATGTGTCCAACAATTCGATGTTGTTTGGAATAAAAAAAATCCAAATTATAAAAATAAATTAGTGGTTAGGTTTTGTTACATTTGCACATGCGTAGTCCGAATTTCCAGGGAAGCATAAACGAGTCCTTAAGATTAAGTTAAGACTAAGACTAAGATTAAGATTAAGACCGAAGCATAAACCAGCCATTAGTGCGCAGACGCAACTTTATTCCCACAACAGCGCATCACTGATTACATATCTTATATAATAAAGATAATTGATATGAAGAAACATAAAACTGACCTATATAAGGAGTCACAGAGAATATTGCGACGCATTACATTGAATATACAGAAACACTGACCGAGTTGTGAAGCAAGTTAAAGTTGCAATTGTTAAAGTTGTAAATATGGTAAACTCAAGAGATTATGCTTCATCTGACAATATTCAAAGATACAATGTATCACGTTTAATCGATAAATTTGCTGATGATTTAAAGAAAATCTCCGGAAAATGTATGGATATCGGTTGTGGACCGGGAGATGTAACGAATGATATTCTTTTGTCATCTCTTGACCCAAATGCAGTAATAATTGGTAAGTAAACAAATAAATTGTTTATATATAACTACAAATTGTCGTGCATTATTATTACTTATTGTTAATCTGATTATTGTATATCATGCAGGTACGGATATTTTACAAAGCATGATCGAATATGCAAATATGACGTACAGTGACGAGAAACGACTTGGATTCGAAGTATTAGATATCCAAACTAAAAATTTGCCTGAGAAATATGTATTGGAATTTAACCACATTTTTTCATTTCACACTTTGCATTGGTGCAAAGACATTCGGTAAGTAAGATTATTAAGCAGATATAAATTAATAAATTTCTTATAAAAATATAATTTTTTCTTATAGGAAAATTTGGTATTTATTAAATAAAAAATTTCTATTAACAAAATTTAAAACTGGTCTAAATAAATAATTTCTGTGTAATTTTTAATTTGAAATAATTGGTTTTAGTAACATCTTTTGCGTGATTTGTCATAATACTATAAACACAATTTTAATTCACAAATATTATAATGATGTATACTTCAAAAATTATTTACATTTATCTTCTTTATTCAACAGACAAGCGTTTGAAAACATTTATCGCATGCTTCGACCTGGTGGAACTATGGTTACATTATTTGTAGCATCTTATGATGCATATAATGTTTTTGAACTAATGGCACAAGATAATCACTTTGCATCGTACAAGGAAGTAATTATTATATATAATGTATTTGTTTCTAATTTTTTAACTACAAGTTGCTAATTATTATTTTTACGTAGGACGTAAAAACAAATGTGGATATGGACATTATCCCAGCTGTTAAAGTAATCAATAATTAAAATTAAAATTTTTAATGTATTAATATATTAATAATGCAAAAGATTTATAACACGGATAATAATTATGCAAAAAATTTATAATTTTAATAAGTTCTTAATAAGACTTACATAAAAACTTGTTTGAATCTTTAGCGAAAAATGTCGCTTCTCGATGACTGCAATGGCAAACTTCAAATCTAATATTTTTAAGTAACTCTTTTACTCCTTCGCGAAGATTTTTTGAATAAAAATACGGTGAAATGTACCTTTTTACGTAGTTCTTTTTACGTAAAAATTTTTTTTAATAAGTTCTTAATATGACTTACATAAAAACTTGTTTGAATCTTTAGCGGAAAATGTCGCTTCTCGATGACTGCAATG